GTTGGCTCCAGAAGGAGCTGTCGGGGCAATCTGGGGAGTTGAGCAATGAATGGCCCCGCACCCCCTCTGCCAGCAGCCCCGGTGCAGCAGTTACTCGTGTTTCCCCGTGAGCCGTGTGCCCTGGAGGAGTCACCACCAGGGTCACTCCTTTGCTCTTCCTCACGAGCTCTGTGTGTCCCATTTCCCTGAACCCTTGTTGCTGTGCTGTCTCCTGGGAGGCTTTGCCAGGATGCTGCAGTGCTCGGCCCTTCATCTCCTCATCACGTTTGCAGAGACCAGTACATGCGTTGGGGTCTTCTCAGCGCTGTCTTGTTCCTCGTAAGCCAGGCCATGGTGAGCTGGCCAGTGGAGTTGGAGCCAGGGTTGATCCTTTCTAGTTGTTTCTCCAGATCTCCAGGCGTCTCGTGATGGGGACAGGTTTGCCTTGACCTGGATTCCCAGGTCTGCAGTTTGCCTTAGCAATAAATCATGGAATGGTTTGGGTTGGAAGGGACCTTAAAGCTCATCCAGTTCCAACCCCCCTGCCAGCAGCAGGGACACCTTCCACTAGACCAGGTTTCTCAAAGCCTCATCCAACCTGGCCTTCAACACTTCCAGGGAGGAGCAGCCACAGCTTCTCTGGCCAACCTGGGACACTGTCTCACCACCCTCACACCAAAGAATTTCTTCCTCACATCTCATCTCCACCTCCCCTCTGCCACTTTCAAGCCATCACCCCTTGTTCTGTCACTCCCTGCCCTTGGCCAAAGTCCCTCCCCAGCCTTCCTGGAGCCCCTTCAGGTACTGGGAGGCCACTAGAAGGTCTCCTATGAGAACCTCTGGTTTGACCAGATGAGTTGAAGATAGCCTGTTGAGATGTTAGCCTCAGACCCTGCCTGCAGAAACTGTTGGACTATTGAGAGTGTGGTAGATCCTAATGAAGGAGAAGGTAAGAGATGCAGAGGTAAGAGATCTGGGAGGCAGTAGAAGAGATTTTGTGGCAAGAGAGGTGATCAGCATGGTCCAAAGCAAAGGGAAAAATGGCAAAGCGTTGTCTGGGGAGCCAGGAGGGGAGACGGGAAGGTTGAGCCAACGGTGTGTGATTAACTTGGCTCTGCTAGTGAGAGCTGCCCACCCGCTGATCCTTCCTAACAGCCTGCGATCCCCAAAGGCAGCTCCTGGAGCAGAGCCGGGGCGGTTGCACAATCGCAGATGGGGAGGAAGAGGCTGCAGGCAGGCTGGAGGGTCACTGCCAGACTGTCTCCATGGTGGGATGATTTGGGACACCTGATGTTGAGCCCCCCAGGTGTCTGCTTGGGGAGGGAGCACAGCCTGGCCCTGCAGAGCTAATGGCTGGTCACCCCAGCCAGCCCTGAGGGCAGCTACAGACCCTCAACTCCCCTTTTGGGGGGCAATTTCAGCTCTATATCCTGTTCTCCTCCTCACCCTTCTCCTGATGGCACAGGGAAGGACATCAACCCTCTGCTTACCCCCCACCTCCCAGCAGGCTGGGGGAGCCCT